TATTCAGTAAATATATTGAGGGCCGTTATTTTATAAGAATATTTAGAAAAAAAAACATGCTTCTTCGTCAATGATTCTCGTACTGAAGATCGCAGCTACTATGTTTCTTTTTTACTCTTAAAGAGATCTTGATATTTTGGTGATGTTGCAAGCGCTATTGTCCACGAGTAGACTGAAACCTATGACTGAGATCCTAAGGGAAGTCAAATCTGTTTACCCTCCTTGTAATCCGTTTTAACACGTTAATAATGCTACTTCGATAAAGCGGCACGACACGAGAATTCTCTCATTACATCATGGCCGCCGGGAACTACATAGCCGATCCTGCGGACCAAATGGTAAACAGTCGACGTCGCCCAAAATACGTGATTTCGGATCCTCCCGACCCACTAACGGTGCTTTTAGGTACCCCAAGCACCGGTCATCATTATCGTTGAACCCGTCGATACCGCGACGAAGGGTGCGGCGAGTTAATTAACCCACAGACATAGCCCACTGAGTTTCTGAATGACTGAGTTTCTCACCGGATCTTCTCAGTGGATCGCGTTTTCGATCCGGTGGTAGATTCTGCGAAGCACGGCTCTTCCTAGGGTTCGTGTTAGCAACATCGTCAGGTTTGGGCCCCGTGAGCTCACCTACTAGTCCGGTGACGCTTATATGGTCTCTCTAGAACATCAGCTAAAGTAGGAAAAAAAATTAATAATGTAGAAATATACACCAATTCGTAACCGGAGTAACATCGAAATAATTCAATAGAGCAATGAGCATTTATCATCGATCACTATAACTTCCCGACCCCTGCTAATAGATGCCTAATATATAAATCTACGGACAGGGACACGCGATTTCTCTCGTTAGTCCTTTGTGTAACCGCGTATTATAGGGTTGTCGACAACGATTTAGTTCAATATACTTTGTTGATTTTATTTACTAGCCTCGATAAGTAATATACACAGTTCGCCAGATGTTGACGCTTGCTGTGGTTTTTTGATGCGACATTGAAATTTCCCGCCACCTACCTTGAAGCATGGTGCCGAAGTAGTGCGCAATTACCGTCTCGCTGGGTCGTCGTAGGTTAGATAAGTATTTTGAGATACGGTTAACAAAGACTTGTGTTGGCTAGTGAACTTAGTGATACCAATGCGTTTAAGTTTGTTTCTTCCTAACGCCCGTCGCCGCTTACCTTTTTAGTAAGAGATCCAACATCGTATAAACCTGTTTATAATTATATAAAAAATACAATTCAAACAATTTAAATGACGAAATTTAGTGAAGTGAAGTGTAGTGATCCCAAAGTAATGAATATTTTCCAAATAAGATACGACCTAAAGGTCTCTATTACCAGGATATAAAACAAACAAAAAAATGAGATACGCTTAATATATTAGTTTTTTGCTTTTTATTATTATTTACTAATAGCTAATAATTGATCACTAATAGCTTCGAGGGGCTACCAGACGGCTATAGGAGTGACGTTGCTCAGTCTGAAAGACTATCTATCCTAACAAGAGCCGTGCTTCGCTGAATCTACCATCTGATCGGAATCGCAACCCACTGAGAAGATCCGGCGAGAAACTCAGTTTGATTTATCTGTGGGACATTTGGCACTCATCTGCCTGCATTGACAGTATCTTATACAATTATTTTCTGTTCAAGTCCATAATGCTTGTAATGTATATATCGACTTTCACTAAAGGAAAATGCTATCCCTACAAGCCGAAAGTATCGACGTAATACTTCTAGAGCAGGGTATTAAAAAAAATATTTAAAATTTAGCATTGAGCGTTTCGCCAGCCTTATTCCAGTTTTACCACAAACAAGTAAACAATGGGCTTTCGTAGATTCAGGGTGACCCTATGTAACAATGCCCTACAAAATAAACTTGAACTTTATTACAACAGCAATAAGGGCGTGTCCGAACTATTGTATTCAACGAGACAGTTTCGCCGTTATCTGGGCACGCGCCGAGTCCGACGTAGAAAGTGTCCCGCTTGTAGGGTGACTATGATTATAAATCTATATGTACTGGTGGTAGGACCTCTTGTGAGTCCGCACAGGTAGGTACCACTACCCCGCCTATTTCTGCCGTGAAGCAGTAATGCGTTTCGGTTTGAAGGGTGGGGTAGTCGTAACTATACTGAGACCCTAGAACTTACATGTCCAGGTGGGTGGCGCATTTACGTTGTAGATGCTTATGGACTCCAGTAACCACTTAACACCAGGTAGGCTGTGAGCAAGTCCATCCATCTAAGCAAAAAAAAATTTACTGTTTGATACTATTTCTCCTAATGTACCATAATTCAATACTTAAAATGGGATACAAATAACATTACCAATTCAAATATAAGATTTATCTAAATCGTAAAATCCTCACATTTCGACGCGTGCTAGAAATGTTTAGAAGTAGATAATCAGTCCTTTTTATTGGAGCATATGATTTAGCACTAGAAATAAACAGCAGTCAAACAGGTAGTAAAGTTAGTATACTACCAGTCGGTTATATAAAACACTATATTAATCTAGTTTATCGCCTATACTGATGCCTCTCAAAGTTCAAGGACACGTGACAGCTATAATTTATGATTCATCTCGATCAATAAATGAGTTTCGCAACGTAACTATTAGCAATAAGACAGGTATGTGTCTCATATACTTATAAGGAATATTTCAAAGGTTAGATTAACAGTGTTTTAAAGATTTTAATTTAGTTTGTTTGGCCTGTGGTTACATGATCAGTTTGTCTGACTGTTAATGCAAAGACACGGATATGCCACTCTGATTTTTTCGATTTAGTGCTACCCGGATATCCGTACCCTGCTTACAAATACCTTAGTTACGTCCCGCCCTTTTGCGCCGTAAATCGACTCTACCTCGAAATTGATGACATTCACCCGTGCGATTTCATAATGTCATCTAGGTACCTACTACTAGTAAAGGGAAAAGTTATGACACCGTCCTTCTAGGAACATGATGCAATCCTACTAATACTTAATAAATTTGAATTTTTTATTGACGTGATTTATAATACGTATAAATCGCTGAACACCAACTGCATGCACGAAAAAGTGTCACGTTCCGCCTGAGCCCGAGCGTGCAAGCGAGAGCGCAGAACAAGCGACAGAGAGACTAACTAGATCGGCCCAAGCGTTGGCTTGTGACATATTTATCTCTCTTCTCGCGTGACGTTAGAGTTAGCAGTTCGAACCGTTCTACTACTGATGTTATCACGTAAAACTATCGTCCGTAAACCGATTATTTAGACAACAATTTTTTTCTCATTAAGCATTGTCACCCTATCGTGTCAGAATGCGTACGGTACTATCGTACAACGCGACCCAACAACTTTATGCCGTGTAAATTGATATTTAACTGAAATTCTGTTCATATTAAAAATATATACAGATTTCAGAATGTATTCATGTTTTTACTGGTGGACCTCTTGTAAGTCCGCACGGGAACCACCACCCTACCTATTTCTGCCGTGAAGCAGTAATGCGTTTGGTTTGAAGGGCGGGGTAGCCGTTGTAACTATACTGAGACCTGAGAACATATCTCCAGGTGGGTGGCGCGTTTACGTTGTAGATGTGTATGGGCTCCAGTAACCACTTAACACCCGGTGGGCAGTGAGCTCGTCCACGCATCTAAGCAATAAAAAAATGTATTTACGCCCGTTACCGAAAATGAACCGGTTACCATTGATCCATAGAACACGGATCACATCACTTAACACATGTAAATGTAACATATTAGGTATACATTTTATATAGAAACAAAAAGATAACGTTCATTAGACCTGTTTTTAATTGATCGCGTTCTCAATTGACTTCGTTTTGAACAAATTGAGTTCGGTATTTGGGTTGTCTTGTAAGTTTATTTTAATTGACACGCCGAAGACGCTGCGACCTACATACATACGTCTTATTGTTTAATTTTACGAAATAAAAACAAAATATCGCATGTGTTGTTGGTTAATGAATACACTGATGTCCTCGTGGTCTCTTATTTCAAAAAATATTAATTGTATGGCTTGTTTGACGTTAACAATACTAAACTACATCAACCAAAGAAGATTCTCCATTGGAAGGTCTCACATTACTTCCTTGATATACATAATCGCAACGTCCTAATAGATCCATCTAATCCGCTAACACTGATATTAGACGTCTCTAATTCGACGTGAAACCTAAACAATAACGTCCACCCTGAAAGTTTCTCATCGGAACATATCCGTGGGTCGCTATTCCGACCCGAGAGTTGCAATCGCAAAGCTGCCCGAACTGTTAAGTTTCCTTCGAAGGCACTCGGAGGCTGTTAACAAATCTCACTCCATCCGGCTGAACGTAGACTCGCTCACCAGTCCTGGTGCAACTGGAAAGACAGGGCCACTAATAAATCAAATGACGCGCGGAATACCCGCCCTCGTGTTCCATAAGAGCAGTCTAGTCTACTCTTTACATGGCCGGCTTATCAACATGAGCATTAAAAAAAAAGTTGTTCTCTAAATTTATTAATTTTTTGCCAAATCTGCTTTGGGTACGCTACGGTATACTTAAACTCAGAACGTGTACATATTTATCGTGTCGTATTCAAATATCACATGGCTAATTTAAAAATTAGAATGCACAAAAATTAAATTAAAATCCAAACTACAGAAAACCAAGAACAATTAAAATGAATATATGAGTGAAAACGTTCAAATCAGATCATAGTACATTTTACTGCTCGAATTAAGCGCCTAGTGAAATGTCACAATATAACTGAATTGAACAACATAACGAAAGCGAAACTGAACCTAAATAAAGTTAATATTAAACATCGCAATCTTACGGATCTATCGAAGAAAAACGGTAGCGCGAATAAAAAATAAACACATTAAATAGTGTAGGTACGAAATAAAAAATATAGTTTATAACAAACCGGTTATCGATTGAGAAATAATTTTATCTTGCTATTTCGTTCGCGGGCTGAGGCGCTTGTGGCGAGGGGGTCAATTCAGTACTGAGCGCGCCGCGTTCCCAGACGGACGCGAGTAACGCTTTCAATATCGGCTATTAGCACATAACCGTGTTATTGCTGCGTTATTTCGCTGTTATTAAATTCTCCGATCTGCTAATTAGTTCTTACATAAGGTGTTTGTGTTTTTATGCATAGCATTTGATAAACGGTTAGTTTTATTGTGTCTTACCTAATCTAAATGTCATAGTTTATTATTTAGATTTTCGCCATCTTTAATGATGATATCTTTGTTTTGTCTAAGTTATCTCTCTAAAATACCTGTATTGTAAATAATGGGAAAATATAATGTTTTAACACAAAAAGTACAGTAACGTTAAATCATTTGTTTGTTAGTAGAAATAAAGTCAAATAAATAATTAAAATTCGAATGCAATTTTCAAATGTTATTTTCAAAACACTTTTTAAGTTTCTATTTAAAAACGTGATCGCGTATTTAGCATGTTTATCGTTTTCGAAATATGACTCAGTTGTTTGATCTCTGACGCCCAGTGAATTTTTAAATGTTATCTTGCATTACTTCTCGATGTAAATACAGTATTTGCATTAAAACTAGCTTTATAGTAAACTTAGACGTTTCCGTTTTCTTACAAATAATGTTTGAAGTCCTCTCGAAAGCGCAAGGTTATTTTATATCGTTAAAAATACTAGAAAGAGATATTTATCGATTCATTTACCGCTAAGTAATTTGAAGCGTTGTAAGCTTCAAACCAAAACAACAGCTGTTATTAATCAAAACCTGTAAACCCTAAAAATGTTTCGACTACAACAAAAACCCTTCGAACAAAAAGTATTTACCTGTTTTTTTTTCTTTTTCTTTCACAGGTAGTGTCAGTGAAGTGCTAGTGCAGTGTTACGTGCTGACGAACTTATTGTTATGTGCTGTGGTATAATGTGAGTTAAGATGCCGTCTGAAAGTGGATCAGCGTGGTCGCCGCCAGCTTCTACCAGCGAGAGGAGATTGAGCAACTCCTCAGATGGCAGCGCTTGTAGCGGTTATTCGAAAACTGTGAGTATTTTTAATCTTCTTCTTCTATCTTCTTCTATATATATATAAATTAATTGCTGTTCGTTAGTCTCGCTAAAACTCGAGAACGGCTGGACCGATTTGGCTAATTTTGGCCTTGAATTGTTTGTGGAAGTCCACAGAAGATTTAAAAGGTAGATAAATATGAAAATGCTCGGAATGAAATAAAAATAACAATTTTGTTTTTCCTTTGATGTGTCCCCCGTCGGACGGATTCGTTTTGTTTGTTTTATGTTTATTTTTTGCAAAAGCTTAGGTATTTTGTTTATCGATTTAGGCACTACGAAGTCTGCCGGGTCAGCTAGTAAATAATAATGATAAAGGTTGGACGAGGCCTCTGTCCATTGGAAAACAGATCTACAGAAAATAAGTAAAATTCAAATAGGGGACTAGATTAAGGTTTATGTACTTAAGTACATTCAATTGAAGTTTTTTTATATATTTAATTATATAATTGTAATATGGATCTGAATAGAAAGGCTATTCATTCATTCATTCATTCATTGATATAAATAATAATAAAATGTGTTTTAGTAAAACATGTAAGCCCAAAACCTACTCTAGTTTGTCGATGTAAATGAATATTTCCATTTAATAAGATGTGAATAAATTGTTATCAGAGATCCATTAAAATATGTGATCCTTTCGAATCATATCTGTTCATATCTATTGAGGTCAACGACGTTTACTTTAATAGTTTGCAGGTCATTAGGATTCTACAAGCAAAGTATGTGATTTAAATACTTAATGACTCCTAATATCGCGTTTTTGTTATTAGTAATTACCGCTCTGTCGAATTTCCGGTAGTTTACTGGTAGTAGGACCTCTTGTGAGTCCGCGCGGGTATGTACCACCACCCTGCCTATTTCTGCTGTGAGTGAAGCACTAATGCGTTTCGGTTTGAAGGGTGGGGCAGCCGTTGTAACTATACTGAGACCTTAGAACTTATATCTCAAGGTGGGTGGCGCATTTACGTTGCAGATGTCCATGGGCTCCAGTAACCACTTAAAACCAGATGGGCTATGAGCTCGTCCACCCACATTAGCATTAAAAAAAAGTTACTTGTATATTCGGGGTTTTATTGACCTAAATTATATGCATGTAATTTTTTTTCTTTACAAACAAAGGGAACTTCGTATCTTAATGTCTGCCAGTTTATATCTAGTACGTTATCTTCACGATAAAGAATCCTAGATGTTTAGATAAGCGCCAATCGTCCTCTGTATAGAAGTTTGTACATATTTAATATAATAAATTTTATGCTGCCATTTTTTGGACTTATCTTCCGGCGAGGGAATGACTCCATAGAGCGCCTTGTCGTTCATGGCAAAGTAGAAGGCACAAAACCGCGTGGAAGGTTGTCCATGTGATGGACCGATCAAGTCAAGACTGCAGTTAGCGATTGTTTGTATGAGGGTACCAGGCTTACCACAAACCGTGAGGCAGATAACATCTCCCCACAGCAATGATACTGAATGGCGACCACGACCACTCTGACAAGAGTGATACGACAAAGGAGTAGTTACGTGACAGATTCCTTATGTTACTTTTTTACTGGTGGTAGGACCTCTTGTGAGTCCGCACGGGTAGGTACCACCACCCTGCCAATTTCTGCCGTGAAGCAGTAATGCATTTCAATTTGAAGGGTGAGGCAGCCGTTCTAACTATACTGAGACCCTAGAACTTATATCTCAAGGTGGGTGGCGCATTTACGTTGTAAATGTCTATGGGCTCCAGTAACCACTTAACACCAGGTGGGCTGTGAGCTCGCCCACCCATCTAAGCAATAAAAAAAACGCTGTTAAGAAAATAATCTTAATAAACTGCGGTATATAATGCTCTAGTTATATTCTGTCTACCCTAAGCCAAGAAAATCGTGAAGTTACGTTAGAACGCTACGTCTGAGTAAGTCCGTGGCGACAGCAACGATAATAGAATATGCAAAAACTGTGATCATCTGCGAAACTAGCCTTTCGCAAGCATTTTTTTTTGTAGCGAAACTCCATTTTGTTTTTGCATGGGTGAGTAAAAGAGAAGCAAAGGAGATTGATATGAAAGTCAAGTGGGATTTCTAGATATCTTTGACGAGATTAATCCCGAATTATCAGAATTATTTTTCTCCAACTTATTCCACTAGATAGAGTCGGCACAGCGAATTTTTCTATACCATTCTCTTCTATCAGCCGTAATCTCAACACTCACTCCTCTCTCTATCATATCGTCCTTCACACTCTCCATCTATGTCTTCTTCGGTCGACCTCTTCCCCCTCTACCTTGCACTACCATTTCCATACATCTCCTAGTCACATGCATCTTCTCTCTACGTATCATATGTTCATACCACGCTAACCATCCGCTCTGTATTTTGTCAATTGTAAACCACAATGCTACACTTCTATTGGTTATCACGCGGAAACAACTTTATTGCTGATGATAGGACGTCTTGTGAGCCCACACGGGTAGGTACCACCGCCCTGCCTATATCTGCTGCGAAGACTACTAGTTCAAAACAAATGTCTCAAGGGAAGTGGCGGCGTTCTTCAGGCGTTCAGGAGGGCCGTGAATCCGTTCATTCTTTTATACAATAAAAATACTATTTTTTATTGGTTAGTCGGGTGGACGAGCTCACGGTCCACCTGGTGTAAAGTGGTTACCGGAGCCCATAGACATCTATAACGTAAATGCCGCCACCCACCTTGAGATATAAGTTCTAAGGTCTCAGTATAGTTACAACGGCTGCCCCACCCTTCAAACCGAAACGCATTACTGCTTCACGCTTTTGCTGCTGACGTCACGTGGATGCTAATGTGAAGTAGGTTCCAATTCATTCGGAAGGCAATTCGCGTTTATGATAGTGTAAATCAACTGTCTCATTGTAAAAATCTGACAAAACTGAAATAAACTTAGAAAAATATTAGTTGCGATTCCGATCCGGTGGTAGATTCAATAAAGCACTTTGCTTGTTAGTGGCAAATGTGAGCATATCCTCCCAGACTCAGCACTGTCAGACCCCCTACCAGTTAAGTGAAGCCGGATCAGCCCCTCAAAACTATCGGCGATTAGGTAGGAAATAAACAAGACTCATTTATAATGTACGACTTAATTCTAGTAATATTTGACAGCTATTTATTGAACACATTAACAACTAGCAACCCTCCCTTTCTTCGCTTCGGAAACTGTAATTTATTATTGATTTCTCCACTATTTAATGGATGTTATTATACATATCGACGCTTGAAAGGAAAAAGTGACCAAGCAATAACCATATTCGATGCGCAAAAAAATATATTTCTAGGTCTATTAAAATCATTTCAATCCTACAGCTACTAGCTAGATTCTACTACAGCTGGATTCCTGAAAATAAATTTTGTTTTCAGGTATTTCAACTTTAAATTAGTCTACTGTAAAGTTCACGCATTGTCGCTTAGTCACGTTTGCCTTTCAAGCGTCGATATATGTAAACCTTCCTTCAATCACTATCTATTAAATCAAAATCCGTTGCGTAGTTTTAAAGATTTAAGCATACATAGGGATATAGGGACAGAGAAAGCGACTTTGTTTTATACTATGTAGTGATGTGTCCCGAAAAATGAATAATAACATTGATCAATAAAATCCAATATTCATAAAATTTGTACACGTAAAACTAAAAAGAATTTACACGAAAGAAGACATCTTAATAATATTAGCCTCGCTTCGGACGACAGTCTACCAAACTGTTGCAATATTATTGCTAATTTTGTGAATCAATGAATTTTGTAATCGATGAGGACAGGCTGTGAATATTCGCGAAATCATTATTAATGTTCGGAGTTAAAGTTGTGTACAGACACATCGAATGACTATTCACAGCTAGCTTCTCAAGGTCCTAACTCGAGCGTAGAGCGGGAATTCAATGATTGATTTAGAGATTTAGAGATAGAATAATGATTTAGAGATCAACATATGGATATGCAACTAGTTTACTGGTGGTAGGACCTCTTGTGAGTCCGCACGGGTAGGCAGCACCGTTCTGGCTATTTCATCCGTGAAGCAGTAATGCGTTGCGATTTGAAGGGTGGGGCAGCCGTTGTAACGATACTTGAGACCTTAGAACTTATATCTCAAGGTGAGTGGCGCATTTACGCTGTAGATGTCTTGGGCTCCAGTAACCACTTAACACCAGGTGGGCTGTGAGCTCGTCCACAAATCTAAGCAATAAAGAAAAACCTTAGAACTCATATTTCAAGGTGTCAAGTACTTGAATTCGCCCACCCGTCTTGGTTAAGAGGTAATGCCTTTGGTCCAACCGCAATCGTCTCTTCCTAAAATATGACATTGAACCTCGTTCATGCGTCGAAATAGATTTCTGTGCAACATCACAACTTAAATTCCAGATACCGTCTTAACTGGGACGTCAGAACGAAGTCCCAGTTACCTATATTGAAACAACAACTATTTCTTTTTGACTTCAGAATGGGTACTGGTTTGGAGCAGAAATTGCCTAAACGGTATTTAATTTACAATTTTCAACATCTCCAATAATACATCTTTGTGTAAACAAAACAAATTTAATGATTATCGTGTACGTGTCAACGAAAAAAATCAAATACTCATAATGAATAAACATTACTGTCGGTTATATAAATACCGAGATCAATACAGTTAACTAGTGACACCACAACCGTAACGCAATTGAGGATATTCCTAATCAATAATATTAGTCTCCCGTCAACTGTCACGGATGCAAATGGCGTTTGCTAATTAAACATCAGTATTAGCTTCCGCGTGTAAGCAGTAATTGTTTATTTGGAATGCAGAAAATTATAGGGATACTTGCTTAACTACGGACACTTAATTGGTCTGGTCGCTTCAAGTAAGTTTCTATTACGGCGAAGAGTTCGACGAGTGAACTGACCCAAAGACACAGCCTATTGAGTTTCTTGCCGGATCTTCTCAGTGGGTCGCGATTCCGATCCGGTGGTAGATTCAGCGAAGCACTG